ACCCCTGGCAGCATTGGCTGCGGCGCAGCCAGAAATGGCGCCGCCAATGGTGATGATGTGGAGGAGGATCAAGAGAAAACCGCAAAGCGATGGGATGAGACGAAGGGAGAGGGTCAAGAAAATGCAACTGGAAGCTGCACCTAGAAGAAGATAGTTGCTTAATATGAACACCTTGTGAGTTTTGGGATGGGATTCATTGGAGGAGGTGTCAATGGACAAACCCATTTTTTCTGAACAAAATCTGAGCAAGATTTATGAAGTTTTTGAGGATTTTTCGCAACTGCGATTTGATTTTCTCGGTGATAAAGAAATGAGTAGATTTGATGCTGATTAGAGAGGAAGAGGAGATGGTTTATAGTGTGGAAGAAGCTGCAACGGTCGTATTTTAGGTCTGATTATGTGAAGAAAAATGACCGTTGTGAAAAGAGTGGAGGGTGGGTGTAACGGCTACCTGGTACTCATTATATCCAGCTGCCTTTTTCCACCAAAAAAATAAAATAAAAAATCAATAAATTTTGAATCTGCTAAATAAATTATTTTTCTTGATTTGAATCTCTATTTGCATTTTCCATTTTTTCTTAATTCTTTCTGTAAATTTTATTCTTCTTGATTTGGCAACGCTCTACAAATGATGAGTCATTATTTGGTACAAAGTTTTGGCCAAATCTATGCATTTAAATTGTGTACTACTAGGGACTTACTAAACAGGGACTCTTTGACAATGTAAAAATACCTGAAATATAACAAAATTTGTCGTGTCGATCTAAATATTTATAGTTGGTTTGATAGGAATGCATTAAATTTGATTGTATTAAATAAATTATAAAAATAACTTAAAATTTTGTACACTATATCAATCAATCCGGTTCAATAGTACACACTAAAAACTTCTCTTAAAAGTAACAATACGTATTAATTTTACAATTTCAAAAAGGACTCTGCTACAAGTACAGGGGCCTGATTTACAGGCCCCTGCCATGTTAGATACAAAGGGGGGTGGGCCCACAATTTTTTTTAATGCAGAGGTGGGGCTGTAGTGAGTGGCCTGTAAAGGCCCTGTCAAAATCAGCCCGGTACTTAGGGTATTAATCTTTCAAAAATTAGTAGCGCGATAGAGCCAAGGATAATAATAAAAAAAAAAATTAGTGGGGGCTTAACTTAGAGCATGTTTGACTTGGTTAAGCTTCAAACTCACTTTTCCCAAAAAAGGGAGTTCAAAATTTTTTTTTTTCGAATAATATGTTATGGCTTTCTTCCCAAAATATAATGTGATTGACAAGTTGATAAAATTGCGGATCCCATGAAACGTGTGGTTAAAATTGAAGTTTAACCCGTCAAAAAGCTAAGAAAATTTTAACAAAGTTTCATCAAACAAGCACGTAATTCTAAAGATAAAAAAGGGAATATAAAGAAACATCACGTTAAGCTCATGTTTGGTTTAACTAAAAATCAATTTTTAAATTTTAATAAAAATTGATAAATTGTATACTTGAAAAGTTGGTAAAAATTGTGAATCTCATGAAATGTGTTGTTAAAATAATTATTGAATTTAACTTAGATTTTTATAAACTTTTTAAATTAAAATAAATATGAACTAAAATATGAAAGTTTCGTGCAACTACACACATGCGTCAGAATTCAATAATTGATTTAGAGATTACATGGTTACCTTTGGTCGACGGCAGCCGCGATGGTGGTGATGGGAGAGAAAGATGAAGAGGAAGTGAATTTTATTAGTTTTGATTTTTTAATTATTTATTTGGAACTCATTTGTAATTTTTAAAAATTTTGGGACCAAGACTGTAATTAGTTCTTTAATTTTTTTATTTAAATATGAGGGTATATTTATTATTTCATAGTTTTTTATTGAGAAAATGAACGATATGAAAGTATTCCACACTAAAAGTTTCAAACAGAGATGTTCTGTGCTATTTTCAAGGGTTGGGAAGTTTTTCCCAACATGCCCAACAGTTAGGGATTTTGTGTCGCTCGAATGGAGGGACATCCTGTCTCTTGGCAGAAAGCAATCTGGCAGATAAAATCAACTCTATCTCAGATCGCTGGGCTGATCTCCAAGACCAAAAACATGCTTGACCGTGATATCCAATGTTCGCGTTCCTTAAACTGCCCAATTAACGAAGTTAAGCGAGCTGAGGTGAAATTGATTAGTTGGAAAAAATCGGAGTGTGGGCAGTTCAAGTTAAATGTTGATGGTGCTTCGATGGGCAACCCAGGTCCCGCCGGTGGAGGGGGTCTTCTTCGCGACAGTAAGGGCACTTGTCTGGCAGGTTATTCTCGCCAATATGGTAATGGCACAAATATGGAGGCTGAGACTCGTGCACTGCTTGATGGTTTACGCATGTGTAGGGATCTTGGTTTTACAAATATTGTTGTTGAAACAGACTCAAAAATTGTGGTACACTGGTGTAATAGAGGTACCTGTACGCTGTGGTGGCTTTGGGACTTCTGGGAGGAAATTATGGAACTGATTTGCAAGCTTAATGTCCAGGTGCATCATGTATTTCGGGAAGCAAATATGGCGGCTGATTTTCTTGCAAAGAATGGGTGTAGAGGCGCATCTTTTGACCTGTTTGTTGGCACGGCGGTTCCATCTCTTCTTAGAGGAATCTTGTACACGGATAGTTTGGAATTGCCTTACCTTAGAGGATGATTTGTTTCGATTGGAAAAAAAAAAGTATTGTTTTAAGCTTGATTTAAAAAATTTTGTAAGGGAAGTAGTCTTCCTCATTTATCGCTTTCATTATTTATTACATGTAACCACGGTA